TGTTGGTCCAAACTGTTATCATTACTTAACTTAAGATTAATTGAAAAAACATGAACTGTTGGATAGAAAATGGCTCCTTATAGCCCTTGCACACCTTACTAAAATTTATGTTCATTAAGCCCACAACTTTATGGTATATCTCCATCAGATACCAATCAATATCATCCTTAGTCTCAATAGCTTCCAGACAATATCGTTCCTGGTCTCAATTTGATTGGTACAGTTGCTTATGATCTACGGATAAATTGTTTTGTGGTACAATTGCTAGAATATATACTGCTAGGTTGAAATTTTTAGGACTGCAAAGGTCAGCCTCGTGAAATGTCCCTGTGAATTTGGTCTGAATATCTGTTCAACTGATTCTCTTGCAGAAGGAAGAAGTGGGTTTTGAGCATCAGGCTGCAATCATGCCTGATGTTCCTCCTCCAGAACAGGCAAGGATTTTTCTCTCTTTCCTTTGATATATGTGGAAGAAAAAAACAGATATCTAATAAGCAATCAAATGCAGCTCCTTAATCTGGAGGAGATACGAGAAAGACGGCTTACTGATCCACGCTTCCCATCGTAATTTTTCTGACTTCCTATCATATAGTTCGATGGTTACTAAATTAATGATGTTCTCAGGTTATTAATTGGTTTAACCATCAAACCATAGCCTTCGCCCTTCAGGATTTACTTCCATTGTGCCATTGAAAAGAATTATTTTTCAAATGGATCTACCTTGCTGTTGACGCGACAAGTTGGATAGCACATTTATAATATCAAATATTATTTTTAAGGAAACAAATTAAATATTGTTCATCTCTATCATTCGGTACTTGGTAGCCAATTGAATGTTTATTCATCTGCAGCCAATATAGGAACTTGGCTGCTAAAAAGAAGTTTACTCCTTGGCCCATAGAAATGAGATTCTGTGAAGATTCAGCATCTCAACATAAACCAAGGTATCCACATACTTCTTTTTCCCTAGATGCAACCTTTTCATATTTTTTTGTTTAAGTTATATTAATCCTGCAGATCCTGGTTTCCTCCAAAGCAAGATTTTCCCCTTTCTATCCTTTTATATTAGTAAAAATAGTTATGATTCAGTAACGCGTCTGATTCTTTTTCAGCTTAAACTACTGGTTTAGAGCTCGGGGAAAACTTTCAGACGACCAAGCTCTACATAGGTTAGTCATTAGATCACCATACACTATCTTTCATCATTTCTTATGCTTGCACATAATGTTATTCTGCAATACTACAGATGTGTTGTAGCATATGCTTCGGATCTACTATATTCTGGTGTGAGCCTTAACCCTCATCGTGAAAAGGGTTTGAAGACATACTCGCTCAGTCTTGATCATTCGTATGTAACATTCACTCAGTATAGTGCTTCGGATAATCATCACTTTTAGCAAATTTTCGTTTGTTCTTACGGCTGCATGTTACTGTCTGTAGCATCTGGTTCCACAAACCTGTGAAGGCTGACGAATGGTTGCTATATGTGGTAAGCGATTGACCGATTGTACATCTGTTCATCGATACAGATGAGCCCATGCGAGATACTAATGTACACATTGCTCCCATGAACAGATCGAGAGCCCATCTGCGCACGGTGGTCGGGGTTTCGTCACTGGACGCATGTTCAACAGGCAAGGAGAGGTATGGATTCGTCTGAGCTCTGATTCTGCTTCTGCACCTGTTCGTGAGAGTTGGGACCCAAGTAATTATATTCTCTTCTGGAATGCGCAGCTTATCATGTCGCTGACCCAAGAGGCGTTGATTAGAAGGGAGAAGCCACGAGGACCAAATCCGAGGCCGAAGCTTTGAGAGATGCACCATCCTTTCTTCTAATTTGGTTTAGATATTTACGAATTCACAAGCAAAAATGTACAATATCAACCGTGGAGCAGCTTAATGGAAAACCTGGAATTTCTAAAGCACCCTTTTAGGTGTTCTCTTAGTTCTATTTTTTTTTTCCTGGAGCAGAGTTTGTAAAGCTGCACCTATTTAGCTGAAAAACATGAGTGGTGTAGTCAAACATGCCCTTAGTGCTCGCACCTTTCTCTTTCTGGAGTATAATACGTGGTTACATCCGAAGTACTTTTTTTGATACGAAAAGGGGGAAGGAAAACAATATTTGGTTGTGCAAGATATATACTCAATAGATGTGTAGTGGCAGTAGTAGGTAACTTTCAGTGAATCAATAGTGCCAAGAAATGTCTCATTTTTTGGCCTGTTTGTTTAACTTTCTGGCATCAAAAGTCAAAGCTATGTTTATAGATTTTTCAGATCCAAAACTACCTTTGCCACTTGAATCTGGTCTGGAGGTACTTTATCAAGTATAGAATGATGAAACCTAAAGGCTAAACCAAGAGGCCACTTGAGTGAGCTTAACTCGAGAACCCCTGATTTGGCAAAGAAGCACCTATCGGAAACAAAAAAAAAAAACTTGAAATAGAGTAAATGAGAGAGGATGAGCAAAGTAAGAAATGAGACCAAAGAAGTAGAAATTACAATGGGAATGGGAACGAATCAAACCTCCAGAATCACTAGCACCGCTTCAACTATCCTTCAACGCTGGCAAACCTTTGGTTTGGATTAAGGCTGGGGTTTGGATTTGGGGACGACATTTGTGTGCACCAACTGTAAATGGGATGGTCGATTGTCATTGTCATCCCGACTGAAGTGGTGTGTGGGTGTAACGGGGCGTGGCGAAGGCGACGCCACTAGGGTGGTAGACTAGTAGTGGAGGCTGGTTAGGGAGCGTTGGTTTCAAGGGGCGTCAAATTTGCAGCAATTAGCGGGGGTGGCGGTGGAGGGCAACATTGACGGTGGTAGAGGTGGGGAAGAGTGAGATATGGAAGCGAGGGAAGGTTCTTGCCGTATTCATACCGGTTAGTAGAGAGACAGCTGACATTGGGGCCACGTGAGGGCCAGAGGTCAGGGGGCATGTTCTCGTCGGTGCTGGATTGGGAAGGCCGACGATGGAGGTGGGGCAACATGAAAGGAGGAAACACAAGCAGAGAAATCGTGAGGAAGACACAAGTGGTGTCGGTGGGGATACGTCAACATACTAGCGGGGGCTAGCTTAGTAATGATTGGTGGTGGGTTCGAAGGGCCAAATATTGCTCAGAGGGGAGCGCACACATAGGTACAATCAGATTGAACCATTAACCGGTTGCATCTGATGTGTTATGTTAGCATTAGTCCTTCCAGCAACGCATGACACACACTCTTAATTATTGCCTATTTGCCTCTAGGCTTATTTTTATTTATTTATAGCCATACCACAGCGATCCAAGGACACACACTCTTAATTATTGCCTATTTGCCTCCAGGCTTATTTTATTTATTTATAGCCATGCGACAGCGATCCAAGTGTACTGGCAAATGCAGCACGGATATGGATACGCCGATATGACTATTTCTCAGAAAACACGATACGTGGATACGTTTTATTATTTATAATAAAATGAACAATAATGCAAATTAAAATTGTGAAAGTGTAAAATTTGAGTAATCACTAATTATTAGTTTAGTACATACAATCATATATGATACTGTTTATCGCTAGATCACCTCGTAGGTTTCTTAGTTTTCACAGGAGATTCAGTCCAAGTATACTGGATGAATGCAGAAGTATATAGGGTACATCAAGAATGAAAAGGGGTGTACTCATGGGAGATCGGCGCAAGCTAGCTTTGCTGCTGAGTGCTGAATCGTCCTGTTCTCTGCATCTCTCCCGGTCTCCCCTGTATCGTGGGAGCTAGCCGCGTCCGTAGCGGACGGGTGGGGTGCTCCCCAGCGCAGTGCTCCCTGGCACGATGACCTGGAGGACGAGAGGTCGATTTGCCCGGGAGGCGGCGCACGTGCGCAGGATGCGGCGCGAGGGGACGGGGCCTCGTCGTCGACGACCGGCGAGCTGCGGCGCATCTCCTGCGCGAGAGGGCGGGGGTTCGTCGCCGGCGGCCAGCGAGTGGTGGCGCATCTCTTGCACGGGAGGCGGCGCGCGCGTGGAGCCGTGCAGGCGTCGCCGCGTCGGGCTAGGGGCGTCGCAACTCGCGACAGGGGAGCGTTGGCTTTCTCGTTGGGCTGGGCCGTATCCCACAGGTACGATACGTATCAGGTTAGGTAACTCATTATTCCGAAAATTAAATAAAAAATCGGATACACGCATGACACTTATCGAAGCCGTATCAGCAGCGTATCCGTATCTTCTTGACGTATCTCCGTATTACATATGCAGCCTGTTCGTTTAGCTGTGGCTTATCATAAACGATCGTAAATTTTCAACCGAAACAATATTTTTCTCTCACACAAACTAACCAGTACTACTTCTTAACGAACCAGCGACGAAATGAACCAGCCAACAAGCTGATGGCAAGTGGCTCCACGCGGCCACGCGGGAATAATCCATGCCTCTGTGACTCTGTCGACTGTCGCTACTCATTTGCATTCATAACAGGTCAACATCATTCCCCTAAAATCTCCACTGACAAGCCGGCCCCTGTCTCCACCGCGCACAACACAGTCCCACTACTCATGGACACAGAGCCTCGCACGAAAAAAAAGGAAGGGGCTGTTCGGTAGAACTGAAAAATAAGTTAAAATACTGTTTTGGCTGATTGGTGTAAGAAAAAAAAAATATTCTATCTAAAATCACTGTGCATGTAAACAGTATTTTCGTGTCTGCGCTGACCAGCCCATCCTGGCCAGCCAGCCGAACACTCGCGAAGCCTGTTAGTCTCAGCTTGTCAGCTTATTCTCTCTCGTATAATACTAGCCGAAACCAGTGGATCAGCCGAACACTCTCTCTCCTCTTTCAGTTGTTCATTTTCTCCTCTCGTCTCCACTTCTCCAGTCTCTGCTTCTGCTCTCCCTCTCTCTCTCTCTTCTCCGCGTCTTTAAATCCGAGAGTATTTTTTTATTTTGTCCGCGTCCTACTCCGCCCTCAACCGCCTCGCTGTCCCTGCCGCCAACACCCCCTGCTCGCCGTTGCTGCAGCCGCGCAGGCGATGGATCGTGATCGCGAAGAAGGTAAAGCAGCGCCAGCGCGGACCTCGCCGAATTTGGGAGCGATTCTGGCTAACCTGGTTGCCATTGGTGTGCAGTGACCGAGTTCCTGGGGCAGGTGCCCCTCCTGCAGTGCCTCCCGGGTTCCTCCATCCGCAGAATCGCCGAGGCCGTCCAGGTCAGGAACTACGGTACGTACCTGGCGCGCCCGCGGGCGCTACTACTGTGCGTTAGCCGGCTGGATCGGTTGGCCGTTTGATCTGTTTCCTGGCTTACTCTGTTTGATTACGGAAGTATGGTATGCGTGTCAGTTTCAGTTTGTGCCTTCGGAAATCGACGTGCTCTCGATCGGAGTGAGTACCTGACTTTGTGCTAAGCTCACAGATTATTTGCGACTTGCGAGTGTTGATTGTTACTCTACGAGATTACAACAAAGCTCAAGTTTCAGATGTAAGCAAATGCGAACATAGCTCTGCGAGAAACAGGGTGCTGGTCTTTCAGTCAAAGCTCTAACCAGTAGTCCATAATGAATTGATTATGCTTAAGTTTCATCTTAATTATTTGACCCTTGGTGCCTGCTTAATGTGATCCCATTATATAAGGCTCTATTGGTTAAATAAGATTTTATTCTTCTGTCATTGAATGTGATGATACTGGTACTTTGCAGAGCCTGGTGACTATGTCGCTCGCGAAGGTGAACCTGTTGATGGCCTTTACATCATATTGGATGGTCAGGTAAAGGTTATGCAAATTCTTACTTTTGTTGGTTCTATGCATACATGTACAACTTAGATGGCTGAGATAAAGATGTATATGCACTGAACGTTTCTTGTGGCGTACCTTTGCACCTCATTGTTGCCACCCGTCTTCTGAGCTGACGCTTCATTGAATCTGCACTGGCGCAAATAAAATGTTCACAAAAAAAACTTTTATACTTCATTTCCACCCATCTTTGGCATTGATGATTATTTGACTGGTGCACAGAAGGCTGTAGTACCACTGAAAAATATCCCAACATGGAGATATAACATCAGTAATTGAGTACTCATTTGAAACAGGTGGACCATATAATTTAGCCTGGCTTTTCTTTCTACATTGATTCCTAGTAGACTGCAAAGAACAACTTTTATAACAATGGTTGGTTTGTTCTGTTCTTTGGTTGAAAGACTTAGACTTCACTGAGTAAAGAACAGTTTTTATAACAATGATCTTATGTTCCTGATCTTCCATAGCTTTCCTGCGCTAACTGTATTACATTATTAATTTGTCATGCTGCTGGTTTCGTACCTTTAACTCGTTACTTTGCTTTGATATGTGTTAGTATCAACAACAAAATATGCTAGAATTACATGTGCTTTTGATATTTACCATAGTGGGATGGGGGCAGAGGCGATTCTATTTTAGCAGTAATACTTTCTGCTACTTGAATGACATCCTCATTATCCTGAAGGCTGAAGTTTCTGCACCTGCGAATGCAGAAGAAGCAAACCGCCCAGACTATGTGTTAAATAAGTACGACTACTTTGGTTACGGTAAGACATTTGCTGTCATGATAATTTGGTTTAATTCTGTTGAAACTCATTCTGCATGAAAAGGATATAAAACAGTGATGTCTTATGTGATTTCATTTCTTTAATTACTGATGCTTTGCATTATTTTGTAGGAACTAATAGTTCTGTTCATCAAGTAACTGTTGTTGCACTCTCAAAGGTGCAAGGTGCTTATTTCAAACAGTCCCACTTTTAACTTATCATTTCTTTAGCTGTAGGATTCTCTTTTCTTAGTGATCTCTTGCTTATTGTTGACCGTTCTATTGCAGCTGACCTGTTTCATATTGCCCAATCAATATGCACATTTTCTAAAACCAGAGGAAACCTCCAATCGCTTCTTCCGTATCCCGACATGGCTAGCCTTTGTGGCCGTGGTCGACTTCCCCAATGAACATTGGTACGAAACCAAGATTCATGAGTGCTTCCGGGGTTTCAGCAATGTGGCTGAGATTGATCCCGAGTGCTTGACCCAGAATAACTATGCATCACTCCGTCTCCTCCTTGAGGTCAATGACCGCCTGGAACTCCCTTATGAATTGCGCATCTCCGCTCCGAAGGGGGTTGGCCGACAAGGGTGCGTGGCCAAAATCCTGCCGATCCGTGTTTGGCCAAGGGAGTACCAGTTTGACAGTCAGGGTAACTTGGCGCGCTTTTTTGGCCCTCCTGCTCCTCCTCCCCTTGGTCCCAGCCTTGGGCCCTTGGGTCCTGTCAGCTGCGCGCAGCAGGCGCGCCCTCCGCCGCATTACTACAGCCAGATGTACCCGCCGCTCCAGCCTAGCCACGACCAGGGGTACAACCGGCAGTATGCTTTTGATCCTTTGGGTGGCCAGCACCTGGCCGCAGCGCCCTCTGCCCAGGTCATCCTTGGGCTTGCTTTCTCCTTCGCGCGTACGCTCTCCTCGCTTTCGCCGCCAAGCTCGCCGACGCCTTTTGCCGCCGCCGTCTGCCTCCACCGTGGGCACCACTTCAAGCCCTGCGAGCCCGGCTAGCGTCGCTGCTCCTCCACCGTCGCCCGCCTCACCTCCTGTCAGCACGCTGCCACCGCCACCCGGCATCATCACTTACCGCCGCCGCCCACGCGCTGCTGCCCCTGCTCAGTGGCGGAGCCAGGATTTATACTCAGGGGGGGCCGGCCGTCAGGAATTATACTTAGGGGGGGCTGGCTCGGTCTTTTTCATTGCGATAATTTTATTATCTAGTTGTGTTTTGTATAATTATATTATCTAGAAGATATTAATAGGTATATATGACAAGAATTTTATATAATCTCTCTCTTAATATAAATAAAAAATATTAAGTCATACAACTATTTTTTGTTGTTGTGAAACATTGGGGGGGGGCCATGGCCCCTGCCAGCCCCCCCTTGGCTCCGCCAGTGCCCCTGCTACTGCTGGCGCTGCAGCTGCCGGTTCCCCCGTCACGAGGAGGGCCAGCTCGCGCCTTGCAGCCAAGGCACCGGCCAACTTCGTGGACATGACCACACAGGCGGTCCAACGCAAAGCACTCCTCAACTCCCTGTCGGGGTGCTCCAAGACGCTGAAGAAACACGTCAACAAGCGAAACATATTGGCGCGGAACAGGCTGCCTCTGGGGGTGGCGGAGCTGCGCAAGCTCGTGTCCGCTGCCAACCTCGGATGCATGAACGCCGGCATGATCGGTGTGGTGACTGATGTTGCCATATGATCTACTACTGCAACAGTAACTTTGGCGGCTTGCACTGCTTCCCCAATGCTCGCTGGGGTCCTAAAAATGGTGGTGCATCTATCTTAGTTTACTTCTTCTTTACCTTGTCGCTGTCTACCTTGCCTTCGGCTTGTTGTGACCTTTTCGAACCTCGTTGGTGCTGTAATATTCAGTAATGAATCAGAACTCTCGCTGCTTTTAAATCGTTTCGTGGAACGTTCGTGGCTTAGGTGACTCGGACAAGTGTGGTGTTGTGCGCGATGTTTTTACTGATGCTAAACCTTCCATAATTTGCCTCCAAGAAACCAAACTCGACACCATAAACTTGTACAAAGCCAAAGCCTTCCTACCTGTCAACTTCTCTTCCTATGTGTTTGCGCCGGCTGACGGCACAAGGGGGGGGGGGATTCTGACGGCCTGGGATCCCGCCCTATTCACTTTGAAACAACATTTCATCAGACCTTACACTCTCACCGCTGTCTTCGTCTGTAATGCTTCAGACCTCGACTTCACTGTCACCAACACTTACGGTCCATCGGACCGCGCGGGCTCAATACCATTCCTGCACGGTATGCGCGACTTCACAACCCAGAATCTTATTCAGGGCCCCTGGATCCTCCTGGGGGACTTCAATCTTGTGCGCTGCGCCACTGACAAGAACAATGGGCAGTTTAGTGTGCCACTCTCCAATGCTTTCAACGAAACCATCCAAGGCCTTCAGTTGTCTGAAGTCGAGCTTTCTGATCGGTTGTACACCTGGACCAACGGCCAGCCACACCCTATCCTGGCACGGCTGGACAGGGTCTTCACTAACAACGATCTCGACTTGATCTTCCCACTCACTAGCCTTTCCTCCCTCCCTAAATCGACCTCGGATCACACTCCGCTTCTGTTGTCGCTTTCCACAAGCCTTCCTAAGTCAGGCTTCTTCCGTTTCGAACGTGCCTGGCTTCGAAATCAATCCTTTCTTCCTACTGTCCTGGCGGGTTGGCAACAGACGCATGAACGAGCAGACGCCGCCGGGCATCTGGCCTCGTGCATCAAGTCAACGCGTGCGGCGGCGAAGGTCTGGTCGAGGTGTATAAGGGCACCCAATTACCTAATTCACAACTGTAAATTCATTATTCAACTCTTTGATTTCTTTGAAGAGACGAGAGCACTGTCAACACATGAGTTCCAGGCTCGCAGACAAGCTCAAGAAACCTTGCAAGAACAGCTCAAAGCCAAAGCAACCTACTGGAAGCAGCGAAGTAAGCAACGGGCAATCAAAGAATGTGACTCCAACACCGCCTTTCATCATGCACAGGCAACCCAACGCCTGCGGAGCAACTATATCAAAATGGTGAGGGTTGATGGTCAGGAGGTCGTCAGTCATGAGGGCAAGACAGCGGCACTGACAGATTTCTTCAAGTCCATTATCGGGGTCCCCGGTGTCTCGGTGCCCTCGCATCTGCTGCACATCTACGTAGATAGGAGCACACCAAGCAGATCGATAACAGCACCCTTCACTGAGCAAGAAACAAAGTCAACTCTGTTATCAATGAACGTGAACAGTGCTCCGGGACCTGATGGTTTTGGCCCGACCTTTTACAGAGCAGCATGGGAGACAGTAAAGGTGCAGGTTATGAACTTCATGTCTGCTTTTCATGGGGGACAGATCAGCCTGGATCCGATTAACAGATCACATATGGTGTTGATACCCAAGAAGCCAGCAGCGGTGGATGTTGACTCATTTAGGCCAATATGCTTACAGAACTGCAGCCTCAAAATTCTTTCAAAAGTGCTAACCAAAAGACTGCAGGGTGAGATTCCGAAGCTAATCAACATCAACCAGACAGGTTTCATCAAGGGAAGATCCATCTCAGATACCTTCGTATATGCTTTGGAACTGGTTCAAGTGTGTCACAAGAGAAAGAAACCTGCAATAGTTCTGAAACTGGACTTTGCCAAGGCCTTTGACACAGTGAACTGGGATGGTTTGTTCAGTATCCTATCCGCGAGGGGATTCACAGACAAATGGATTCAGTGGATCAGTTCTCTCCTAACCTCCTCGAAATCCGCAGTGCTAGTCAATGGATGCCCGGGGCCTTGGATCACATGCAAGAGAGGCCTTCGTCAGGGTGATCCTATTTCGCCTTACCTGTTCTTGTTGGTTGCAGAGACTCTTCAGGGTATGATTGCTAGATGCTCTGAGATCAAACACCCATCGGAAGATGGCTTACCATGTGCAGTTCTCCAATATGCGGATGACACGTTAATCGTCCTTCAAGGCAACACCACTGGGGTTGCTGCTCTGAAGAACATTCTTGATGATTTTGCATCTTTCTCTGGCTTGCATATAAATTATTGCAAGAGCACGTTGGTGCCAATTCATATGACTGACAATATAACCCAGGAATGTGTTCAGGTTCTGGGTTGCAGGCAAGAATCCTTCCCACAGCCTTACCTGGGGCTGCCACTGTCGGTGCACAAGCTCCCACTGTCAGCATACACGCCTTATATCCAGAAGACTGATAGATATCTTAGTACATGGCAAGCAAGCTTACTGAACACTATGGGTAGAGATGTGATGGTTAACTCGGTTCTGGATTCTCAACTGGTCTACTTCATGAGCTCACTGCAGTTGCCTCCATCAGTGATCGATCAACTTGATAGGAGAAGACATGCCTTTCTGTGGAGTGCAGAAAAACAGGAAAATCAAACCCGGCAAACTGCCTCGTTGCATGGATCAATGTGTGCAAGCCAAGAGACCTAGGTGGTCTGGGGATCAAGGACATGGGCACACAGAACATATGCCTGCTGCTCAAACTCATACATAAGCTTCATCACCCTGAATTTTATGCATGGGCACAATGGGTCCAGGGACGGGCCTCAATTGCAACGCTCAGTGGTGATATTCATGGTGACCACTGGCGGGTGCTTCGACAAATTCTACCTCTGTATCAAGCTATCACAACGGTTGCCCTCGGAGATGGAAACAACTGCTCCTTTTGGTCTGATGTTTGGACTGGAGATGAGGCCCTTGCTGACACCTACCCGGCACTCTTCAGTCATTGTACGTTCAAGGAGGCTACGGTATCCCAGATGTTACACACCGGCCTGCAGCTGACTCTGGTACTGCGCCTGTCTCAAAGGGCATGCTTGGACCTGCATCACCTACTACAGATCATCCAGGCAACCACACTTTCGCAAACACCGGACCAACGGACATCTTTATTTAGCAAGGGAGATTCAGGGCTGGACAGTGGTGCTATTTATAAACTACTGAAGGCCAAGGGCCAACCGGATGACCCCAGGGCTAAGTTCGTCTAGGACAACCATGCACCGCCTAGAGTGCAGCTTTTCATGTGGCTTCTAGTTCAAGGAAGAATCCATGCACGATCGGTGCTACAAAACAAGAGAATACTGGATGATAAAACCTGTGAGGTATGTAACGAGGCCGACGAAACACCGGAGCACATCATCAACGGCTGCCCCATTGCGACTATGTTCTGGCAGAGGCTTCATCTACCAGAAATGCTGCAACTCACAACTCAATCCTTACATACCATCTCAACGACTGGAGGCATACCCACTGATGAGTTCTCTGCCTTCATAGCGCTGGGTTGCTAGCACCTGTGGAAGGCCAGGAACGGAAAAGTCTTCAGACAAGAATCCACTTCGGTTGATCAGGTGCTAATAAACTGCAAGATTGCTGCAGAACAATGGAGGTTCAGACTTCCGAGAAAGAAAAAGCAAGTCGCCGACGTATGGTGTCATATCTTAGAAATGGCTAGAACAGGCCAGGGCTGAAACGTTGGACCTTAGGCTGCTTTAATCGCTTAGACAAATTGTAACCACCTAGGTGCTTCTATAAACAATATCTGTACATTATGAGGCCGTTCGGAGCCATTATAATCAAATAAATCAGGTGGGGAACGCCTCCCCCCCGTTGACCGTCAAAAAAAAAACAATTTGGAATCCGGAGGAAACACCTGAACATTCTTTGCTGGAACAAATTTTGCACTTACAACCACTAGAGGTTAGTATAATGTAACGCATGTTTTATCCATTGTGCAACAAATGGATTTAAGACTGTAAGTGGAATCATACTGTTACCATATGAAGACTAACCTTGTGCTTTTAACTCACCATATACTTTGATTTACATCGCTTAAAATAAACAAATATGAGAGCAGGGATGGCTTTCAGAGATTTGCATGGTTGTATCTTCTTGATTTAATGCTAAAAGGACAGACATGGTAAATATAGTGTAATATTTTTGTATTGAATTCCCTTGTCTTGCTCACCACAATTCTTGTCTGTCGGTTTAGGTCGATATTTTCCGTGGGTTTACTTTGCCCGAAGCTCCAACTTTTAGGCACGTTTTTGGAGGACAATTCATTGGACAGGCACTTTTCAACCACCCTCGCTTACTTTCTAGATCTGATAACTATATGTATTTGACCACTTCCTTTTACTACTGAATTCTAACTGTTCATTTTACTTTCAAGTACAAATTTTTGAATTACTGAGTCAATTGCTAAAAAGAAACTTTTTAGACATGCTTCCTCTACTTCCCATAAGCGCGTGGGTTGGATTTAAGAGCATCTCATGAAACCAATTATTCAGGAACAAATATACAAATTATATTTAAAATTATATAGTCCTTGTCAGCTTCCTTCCAGACATTCCACTATGCCTTATTTTCTTATTTATGATATGACTATCTCCTTCATGATCTATTCACTTGATATGTTGCTAAGGGCCACAGGGTAACAATAAGAAGCTATAAGAAATTATTGCTTAGGTGTCTTTTGAGTACCTGTAGGAAGTTTGAGTCAGAATAATCCTCTTTTTGAGTTCAGTTATGTCAACTCCCTTGCTGCTGACAGTTGGTATCTTCTGGATAAATGGATTTCTGTATGCTACTGTTAACTCTATGCTTTTTTTCAGTAAAAGCTGGGGATCCTTGTAAAAGGATTTCAGTATGTTGTAACCACTTCTTATGTTTGATGCCATGCAGGCGCTGGCAGCAGCATCCAAGACTGTTGATTGTCTAAAAATGGTGCATAGTTTGAATGCAATTTTTCTTGTTGTTGGAGACAAAGACAGTATGGTTTCCTAAAGCTATGTGATCTTTTGCCAACGTTAATTTGGTCAATCAAATATAATCTGAGAGCCAGTAATCTGTCAGTTAATAAGGACTCTAAATTTTTTTGAAAGAAATAAGGACTCTAAATCACTAGAAGCTTTTAGTTTGGGCTTAGCTGGGGCTTCTATTTTTATTCTTTTTCGTTTCATGTAATATCATGATTGAGTTGCGTAACAGTCAGTATTTTAACTGTTGAAAGTAATCCACAAGTTTGATACCCATACGGCATACTTCTGGCTTTGTAGTAAGCTGGGATACTTAGTGCACTTTCTTTTAATCCAAAAAAGAAGTTTGATGCTCATGGCTGTCTTTGATTTGTCCTCTGGTGTAGTACCAATAATATATCAAGTTCATCGGGCACGTGATGGATCCAGCTTTGCCACAAGAAAAGTGGAGGCAAAGCAGAAGGGCCTAGTTCTATTCACTTTGATTGCTTCTTTCCAGGTGCTTATACTTCTGTAGTGATAATATTTGAAACTTCTTTGGACAGATTAAACAATTTATACAAACCTGTAGCAGTTATGATTCTCATTTTTCAATCTTTTGAACTTGAAAAGACCTCTGCCTTGTCCATGCTAAGAATTTGAGTTAGAAGGTAAATGATTATTTTGAACCTTGTATCTCCCAAAACGCTGCATCAAGTCACTGTTCTTTTGGTTATTTTAAATGGTACTGTTGGTCCAAACTGTTATCATGCTTAACTTAAGATTAATTGAAAAAAAAACATGAACTGTTGGATAGAAAATGGCTCCTTGTAGCCATTGCACACCTTACTAAAATTTATGTTCATTAAACCCTAAACTTTATGGTATATCTCCATCAGCTTCCAATCAATATCATCCTTAGTCTCAATAGCTACGAGACAATATCGTTCCTTGTCTCAATTTGATTATTACAGTTGCTTATGATCCACGGATAAATTGTTCTGTGGTACAACTGCTAGAATATATACTGCTAGGTTGAAATTTTTAGGACTGCAAAGGTCAGCCTCCTGAAATATGTCAGTGTGAATTTGGTCTGACTCTCTGTTCAACTGAGTATCTTGCAGAAGGAAGAAGTGGGTTTTGAGCATCAGGCTGCAATTATGCCTGATGTTCCTCCTCCAGAACAGGCAAGAACTTTTCTCTCTTTCCTTTGATATTTGTCGAAGAAAAAAACAGGTATCTAATAAGCAATCAAATGCAGCTCCTTAATCTGGAGGAGCTACGAGAAAGACGGCTTATTGATCCACGCTTCCCACCGTAATTTTTCTGACTTTCTATCATATAGTTCGATGGTTACTAAATTAATGATGTTATCATCTTATTAATCGGTTTAACCATTAAACCATAGCCTTCGCCCTTGAGGATTTACTTCCATTGTTCCATTGAAAACCATTATTTTTCAAATGGATCTACCTTGTTGATGCGACAAGTTGGATAGCACATTTATAATATCAAATATTTTTTTAAGAAAAAAAATTAATATTGTTCATCTCTTTATCATGTGGTACTTGGTAGCCAATTGAATGTTTATTCATCTGCAGCCAATATAGGAACTTGGCAGCTAACAAAAAGTTTACTCCTTGGCCCATAGAAACGAGATTATGTGAAGATTCAGCGTCTCAACATAAACCAAGGTATCCACATACATCTTTTTCCCTGAATGCAACCTATTCATAATTCTTGTTTTAAGTTATATTAATCCTGCAGATCCTGGTTTCCTCCAAAGCAAGATTTTTTCCATTCTATCTTCTTACATTAGTAAAAATAGTTATGATTAGTAATGTGTCTGATTTTTTGCCAGCTTAAACTACTGGTTTAGAGCTCGGGGAAAACTTTCAGACGACCAAGCTCTACATAGGTTAGTCACTACATCACCGTACACTATCTTTCATCATTTTCTATAACTGCACATAATGTTATTCTGCAATACTACAGATGTGTTGTAGCATATGCTTCGGATCTACTATATTCTCCTGTGAGCCGTCACCCTCATCTGGCGAAGTGTTTGGAGATACACGTGTTCAGTCTTAATCATTCGTATGTAACACTCACTCAGTATAGTGCTTCCGATCATCCTCACTTTTACCAAATTTTTGTTTGTTCTTACGGCTGCCTGTTACTGTCTGTAGCATCTGGTTCCACAAACCTGTAAAGGCTGACGAATGGTTGCTGTATGTGGTAAGCGATTGACAAATTGTACATCTGCTCATCGATACAGATGAGCCCATGCGAGATACTAATGTACACATTGCTCCCGTGAACAGATCGAGAGCCCATCTGCGCACGGTGGTCGGGGTTTCGTCACTGGACGCATGTTCAACAGGCAAGGAGAGGTATGTATTCGTCTGAGCTCTGATTCTGCTTCTGCACCTGTTTGTGAGAGTTGGGACCCAAGTAATTATATTCTCTTCGGGAATGCGCAGCTTATCATGTCGCTGACCCAAGAGGCGTTGATTAGAAGGGAGAAGCCACGAGGACCAAATCCGAGGCCGAAGCTTTGAGAGATGCACCATCCTTTCTTCTAATTTGGTTTAGATATTTACGAATTCACAAGAAAAAATGTACAATATCAACCGTGGAGCAGCTTCACCGAAAACCTGCACCCATTTAGGTGTTCTTTTAGCTCTACTTTTTTTT